AACGTTTTATTATGTGTATTTTATGTGTGAATGCATACATTTTCAGTTAGACATTCATTAGTAACTTGAGTTTGAACATTGTTATGATCTGTTCAGTTGTTATCATGTTGGGATTTTCTCTTGTGTTTGATTGCTTGAATAGTTGTTCTCTTGCTTCTTCAAGTGTCCTTAGCTTGTATTTATAGCTTGGAATGTGTTTGATGTTGTATATAACTTGATGTTGTATGTTGCGATCAACGCGAAAGTCAAATCGCAAAGCAAAATAAGCGTTGCGATAGTCAAATTCACAACGTGAAATCGCAAACCGAAAATCGCAACGCGAATTTGAATTTTGCGTTACGAATTTGACTATCGCAGCGCTTATTTCGCGTTGCGAATTTTACTTTCACTTTGCGAATTTACCTTTCGCGTTATGAATTTGTACCTTCAACAGGTCTTTTTTGCCTTCAACATAATGTAGATTGAATTTAAAACAACAAATCAACTTTTACAAATCAATTAAACAAGCAAAAAAATAATTATTATTTACACATCAAATTAAACAAATCAACTTTTACAAATCAATTAAACAAGCAAAAAATAATTATTATTTCCTCATCAATTAAACAAATCAACTTTCAATGTAAAATTCAATTAAACAAGCAAAAAAAGTGTACACCAGACTGTTGTTTATGCACAAATACATCAATTTCACGCAGCTCACGTAAGGAATAACCTGCATAAACCAAACATTTGCTCAAACAACACTTTCTACACATCTAAAACCAACAAACAACAAATTATTGAATTCTAGGTACTTAACCAAACATTTTCAAACCAACAAAGAGTATATATGTTAACAACACTTGCTCAAACTTACCAATTGTTTATGCAAACTTTCAGCATGCGGATGCAGGTAAGCAACATCTCGCATATATCGCTCGAGCCATAAAATGCCGAAATCATAAGTCTACTGCACCTCTATCTCTATCTGTGGGAGGTAGAAGGTGTTTACTTCCTGTAGTCAAACGCTCCAAGCATATGCATACAAGAGGACCACAATCCCCTCTAGCTCCCTCCGTTTGTTGTGGCGTGGTATCATCTCTGATCATTGTAACTTTGAACTTTTTTGGCTTCTTGTTTCCAGAATTAGTCTAATAATCAATCGCGTCCAAGTATTTCGCCAAATGAGAACTCCATCCCTTACAAATAATATCTCTCAAATCAGACAATGGTATGTAATTCAACATGCTGTCATACACCATTGTCTTCAGGGGTGGGAGCTGAAGCTCGACAAGAAGCCAATGACGACGTTCCAAAACAGGGATAAACACCTGCAATCATAAATAATTGCGCACATCAAATAAAATTTATGAAAACCTTTAAAAATATTCAACAAATAAATACTAACCTTATCGACCTCCCACCACGCAGGATAAAGTTTAGCTTTTCCATTACCCAACGTATATGAAGCATCTCTCGGATCCTTCAAGTGAGCTACGTGAAAAGACGTCGGCATAATAGTCCATCGAGTATTTCTTATTTTCCTCAATTTCCTTATTATTAGAAGACGTGACACCCATGCATCAATATGCTGTTTTATAAAAAAATACATATATTAGTGAATTTATTAATAATTTTAAAAAATTAATCAAAATGCAATATAAGAATAATATAAGACTTACCATCCCTTTGAGATAGTCATTATCTTCAACCCCTAATAAAATACCCCACCAAGACCGATCAAGAAACAAATGAATAACATCGTCGAGTTGACATAGGTCAGAATAACACCCCTTGCTCCGCTCATGTAGATAAAAATCAATTGCGGTCTTTATTATCCGTAATTGTGTTCGGTAGTGTTTCCCTCTCCTTCTGAGGAACGGTATTGGCCGGTAACACATACGAAAGCCAACTCACATCCATCATATAGGGCACGGGAGGGTGTTTATCAATATGTCGACATATGACGCCATGTGAATCGGGCTCTTGAACGGCGGGCGGGACCTCTTGAACGATGACAGGGGCCTCTTGAACGGTGGGAGGGGCTTCTTCGATGATGAGAGGGGCCTCTTGAATGATAGGAGATGACTCTTGAATGATGATAGGTGCATCGAGCTTCTTCTTACAGAGTCTTGGCACTAGTGGGGTGAACGGAGACGTAATGGCATGTGCACGATGTTTGATGCGTGAACCCCATCGTGCAAGAAAAACCCGACGTAAAGCATCTACCTTATCGGACCGCTGAAAATAAATTAATACATAAATCAGTAAATAAATAAATAAATAATGCCGAAAAAAGGTTATTTGCATTTTTAGTATAGTATTAAACAATTTTACCTCATTGCGTAGAGTACGAACCTCATTCTACAACGATGAAACAATCTCGCGTAGAGCGGCAACCTCATCACGTAAAGTAGATACCTCACTATGTAGCGCACCATTGTCATCGCGTAAAAAATCCACCTCACCACGTAAAGACCGAACCTCATCACGCCATGCACCATTATCTTCACGTAAAGTATCGACCTCATGACGCAAAACACCGACCTCATCACGTAACTCCCCTAACTCATCCCGTGGAGGTAGAGAACAGGAAGATAAATGTCGTGGCCTCTTTGTCGGTCGCCTGTCATGAGGTAATGGTGGAGAAGAGGCTCGATGATGTGATGGAATAGGTGATGGTAGAGGTGGAGAAGAGGCTCGATCAGGTGATGGCTCCGGGTGTCGAGTTGTAGAATCGGCTCGATCAGGTGATGGCTCTCGAAGTGGGGGGTGCTCATCATCCGTCCCATCAAAAAACCACTTACTAGCTTGCCACCAATCAGTGGCAAGCTCAACCTCTATGGGTGTCAGCCTCTGTAATAGATAGTTGGCCTCCTAACAATATAAAAGCTCAAACAAAGTTAAACTTGTACTAGTAATAACTTGTTTATATATGGTATTATTTGTGTGTTAACTTACATCATTCATCGTTGTATATGGGAGTAACTCTTCCCAATCCAACATGCGGATCCTTTTCCAGGTAATAGCCCTAGGAATATCATTTGATCTTTTTATCGCATATGTCCGCATGCTGGGGAAAGCCTCAAATATCCAAATCTACAAACAATATAATACACAAACATTAGTAATTGTTAAATAATTAATTATAATTTTGGAAACATTATATAGAAATTCTTACCTTAAAGGCCCAAGTAAAGCCTGTCAAAGTGTATTTAGAACCATCGCCCCGCAAACTTTTTCGATTCTCAAAGGCAGACGACAACTTCTTCCAGGTAGCTTTCCATAGATATGAACCTAACGGAAACATGTTCCATGCATTTAGGTCCTCTACCAATAATATTAGGTCCTTAGAGATAGGTTGTATGCCCTCTTTGCCTAAAAAACCGGCATGCAAAAATAATAAATGGCATACTCGAACAACATCAAGGTCATCTATCCCAGTAAAACCATCTTTAACAAATAATCTCTTCAAGTCGTCGACGTGTAAACTCGGCTTCAACTTTTCCATCTCAGAAAAAACCCGAGATAACCATGATGGGCGAGAGATATGACTAGTATATCGGGTTACTTCCTCGTGTCCAAAGCGTAGACCAGTGATTAAGCAAAACTCCTCCCGCCCAAAACAAGTATACGCCGGTGCCAGAGTAAAATGAAACCATATCTCTTCATCACCACGTTGTATCCTCTCGGGTAGATCGTTAGTCATGGTTTGAAGAAACAAATGTGTCAACATAGCATCTCCACTCGTATGTTGTACTTTCAGCCATGGCCTGAAGCAAGTATCCTCAAACAATTTTCTTTGTAGAGGTGTAAGCGTCGACGCAATTTTAATGGCTAGGCTTAATTTATTCCTTAAGGTCAATGCAACTGAAAAACATTTCTACAAAAACAATAAACATACCAAGTTAGATATACCAAAAACTACAAATTATACACTATAAACAGACATGATATTAAACAGTGAAAACAAAGCCAAATATGTTTCAAACTAGCATGGTATTCACATGCTGTCATTATTTCATCATAGTTTACAAAATGCATCAAATAACATTCCAGAAGTAAGCACTTATATAATCATTTAAAATGACAACATATAGGTTTAGTGCAGGTTCAAGGACAACATAAAGAGTAGTAGTTTATTCTTGAAACTTAAATTAGCAACACTGTGAAGCTAGTATTTGTCTTTGTTTTGTCTTTTTGTTGAAGTAATGCAATTCATTCAAGTTTCAATTTGCAGAATAAGAGTAGTTTCTGAAACTTAAATTCACAACGCGAAAATGAAAATCACAATTTTTGCGTTGCGATTTTCATTTTCGTGTTGCGAATTTAAGTTTCAAAAACTATTTTTCTGCAAATTGAAACTTGAATGAATTGCATTTCTTCAACAAAAAGACAAAACAAAGACAAATACTAACTTCACAGGGTTAAAGACTAAACAGTTTAGTAGTATTAGCAGCAACCGAATGAATTTACTAAGCAATCTCAGTGAAATGATTAATCTTTATATATATATTGAAATTACCAGTAAATTTATCATCAATATAAGAAAAATCTAATAATAATACAAAAATTTCAAAATAAAAATAAGAGATTAAAAAATTAACTATCGGTGGTTGATTTTCCATTTCTGACCATGAATGGTTGTGAGGGTTGCTCTGAGAGATGGAGATAGACGAATTTCGCCGGAGATAGGGACGGATGTCGCCGTAGAGAGTGAGAGATGGAGATGAGACTGAGTTGTGATTTAGGATTTTAGGTTATGATTTACGATAATACTGTTTACATTTGTGTTGCGAAATTAATATTTTGTTCTGCTTTGCGAATTTGACTTCCGCGTTGCGAATTTGACTTCCGCATTGTGAATTTGACTATCGCGTTATCAATTTGACTTTTGTGTTACAAATTTGAATTCTGTGTTACGAATTTGACTATCGCGTTGCGAATTTGATTTCTGTGTTACGATTTACAAATATAGGGTCTTGGCGGCGGAAGGGTCAACCTTTGAACTGCTTTATTCTTCTTCTGCTTAAGTTTTACTCTGCTCAGCGGCAGTGTTTGGTGTTTCGAGAATCTAATCATAAGAAGAAAAATAAAGAAATGGAGAAGGGAAGCAGGCAAGTAGTTGTTTCAGCTTTGCAATTCGCTTGCACCGACGATGTCCCCACAAATCTCGCCACTGCCGAGAGGTTTCTTTTCTTTTTCTATTATGCCTCCTCCCCTTTGCTTCTCATTTCAGTGGATTTTATGGGACTTTCTTTAATTTTGAAATATTCTGGATTAAACTTGCTACTCTTTTAATCTCATCTGTTACTACTCTTTTAATCTCATCTGTTACAAGTTGTTTCCAGGTATACTGGTTTTGTGGGGGGGTTTTCCCCCTTATTTTTTATCTCAATTTGATTGAGTTTTAGAAATATGGTGTGTATTGGTTGCTTGATTATACACGAGAATAAGGTTATTTAAAATGTGATGAAGAGTATATTAAAATTTAAAAGAGAGGAAGTGATTTAGAGACTGGTCATTGTTATATAATGTTTTCAAGTTTAATTTGTTCCATTCAACAGTCCAAGTTTGAACTTTGTTTGGGTTTTAAGCTAAAGTTATTATATTCTTGGTGTTTTTCCATTCATAGTCACCCTTATGCTTCGTTTCCAGCTGACAGTGAACGCCTGGATTTACTTATATGTAAAAGGCTATATGCCCTTATCTACACAGCATTGGTGGAAAATACACTAAATTGAATTTCATTAACTTCTTCGCTCAAAGTTTTCATTTTGGCATCTGTTTTCTGATATGCTTGTCCCTTTTTTTGTTATAAAAGCCAAGAGTTTACATGTGACATTTCACTTTAACTCTAAATATTTCTTCAGCGCATTTGTGGTATTTAGCATTCACATTTTATATATCTCAATTTAGTCTTAAATAGTGACAACTACCATGATTCTTAATGGTACATTTTCCGTCACTGGTGTCCTGTTTTTTCTTAGGATACATGTCCCTTTTGCCTTATTGTTGTGTTTAGTCCTTTCATTTTGGAGTTTGGAATCAATCTAAGGAAACAATTGGCAGATTTTAATGCTTATCTTGCTAACCGAATTTGAAAAAAGGGTTCTAGGTCTTGCCACATTTGATGTGCATTTTGAGATCCTTGAATGCCCCAATTATTTGCATATTCTAATCCCATGAAAAATTGTCTATGCTGAGTACAAGAGCTAAGGATCGTGTCACCGATTGATTCACGGAAAACTCGATTCAATTGGTGAAGCCTTTCCCTTGTTGCAATTCCCATCTCTTGAAGAACCTTTGATTAATAATATATGGAACTTGTCAAAGGAAGCTCCTAATCTTGGACTTGTTAGGAAGACAGAGTCTTAGACCTCTGTAATTGGAATGATTTCTTTCTAAGGACTTTTAGAGGTCACTTAGATTTATTGGCATATATCCATTCAGTGCCAATTGATGATGGTACATTTAAGGTAGTTTAGATGTCAGAGGCCAATGCCTTCAAGTGTTTAATAAAGAGAAGTCGGTAGAGGATGCCATGTTGGATGGGGAGGGAAAAACTAAACACTAAGTGTTTTTTTGTATGTGTATAAATATAAAAGATGTTTACTAGCCTACTAACAGTATGGCTCCAAATGGAGCTTGGTAATGCAATATGGTTCATGTAGCTGTCCTCATGTTGTGGGGCATGCTTGTTTGGTTGTGGTTGTCATTTTGTTTTCTTACTCTACTTTCACCCTAATGTCTTATGATATTTTGTGGCATTTCCCCATGCCTTTTGGTAACCTTCTCTTTTAGCTGTTATGCTAGTTATGTAAGTAGTGTTTAAGTTAAACTCTGAATCCTAACTTATATCAAAAACTATCTCCTAATTTGTAGAAAAGATGACTCCTATCTTATCTAGGTCTCTAATTCATGTATATAAAAATCCCATGTATCCTCTTGTGTAATATCCAATTGTTCTTTGAATAAAAAAATAATTTCAGAATCAATAACCCTGTTTACCAGAACGGAAAAACTCTGTTTCTACAATTTATTTATAAAATGACTTTCCTCTACACAGGCTGGTTAGGGCTGCTCATGCTAAGGGTGCAAATATCATTCTTATTCAGGTATATGCTGTTCAATTTTATTCAGTTCCTTTTCTAATAAATGATTTCTTTTTTTTTTCTTCTGTCTTCATTTAGTTCCCTTTTTTTTTGCATCTTTCATCGCTGCTGAAGTTGTATATGATTCCTCAACTTTGACACATTGTCTACCTACCAAATGCTGAACAATATGCATAATAAATAAAATGATATCAATGGAATGCATGCGGTAATCAATAACATGAGAAGTGGCTGGAAAAAAATTTGATCCTGGGAAAAAAGGGGAAAACACCAGTAGGTACACTAAAACAGGTTGTGATGTTAAACTAAGATCAAGATAAACACTTTTTGGCATAACTTCTTTTAAAAAATAACACAATAAAGTAGATTAGAACATCTGCCCTTAGAAACTGATTCTGTCGGGGATTTTTGAAATTATGCTAAGAAACAGCTTATGTTAAGATACCGCTGTCACTTCTAGTCTTCTTAATGGGCTAAAAATAGCTCCTTAATGCTGTGAAATCCTGGCTTTCCAAAATGGAAATTTGAAGGGAAAATGAATTTTCTTACCATCTAACTTCTCTTATTTTCTCCTATACATTTACAATTCTGTAATTGATGGTATGAATATAATAGAAAATAAGCTATCCGAATGATTCATTCTTTTTCTGCTGACTAGTTCTTTCTATTCTTGTGTCTTTATGTGTCTTCAGGAACTCTTTGAGGGCTATTACTTCTGTCAAGCACAAAGGGAGGATTTCTTTAAGCGTGCTAAGCCTTATAAGGATCACCCTACCATTAAAAGGTAAAATCACTACATACTAACTTCTAAATTTAAGTTGATTGCTTGTATCAATGCCTTGTTTCTCTGACAAGAGCAGCTAAACTTGCTTTGACTTGCAGATTCTTATTATTTACTCGATTGGACTTGTTTTTGTCTACTGTATGCTTTCAGGTTGCAGGAACTCGCAAAAGAGTTGAGTGTGGTGCTACCAGTTAGTTTCTTTGAAGAGGCAAACAATGCCTATTTCAATTCTATAGCCGTCATTGATGCTGATGGGACCGATCTTGGACTCTATAGGAAATCTCATATCCCTGATGGACCAGGTCTCTAGAAAGTTAATGCTTCATAGCTTCAATAAGATATAATTCATTTTGATTTTGGTTTTGATTAGTAAAATTGAGTTTCTTCCCTCTCTTTCAGGATACCAGGAAAAGTTCTACTTTAATCCGGGAGATACAGGCTTTAAGGTAGGTACTTGGTAAAATATCAGTTCAACTGATGCTAACATTTTTTCAGAAACTTCTAGTTTTTATGTTGATTGTCTTGATTACTTAACATATGGATGCCATTGACAACAGGTTTTCCAGACTAAATTCGCAAAGATCGGAGTTGGTTAGAGCTTTTTTTCCTTTTCCTTTTAGACAATTGTACTATTTGTATCATGAAGCTTGCAAGTTTATTACAAAATGTTTCATCTGTCACTTGAATGGACCTATGTATGGTGTATCTTATATTGTTGCCATTACAATCACTGCCCTGGGGCTAGAATGTGCTGGCGACATAACTTAACTTCTGAAATGTGTGTTTATTTTATCTTTACCTGCACAACAAGGATGCGCAAGACAACATAAAGTTATTGCTTAATTTTGCATGTCAGCAATATGTTGGGATCAGTGGTTTCCGGAGGCTGCCCGTTGTATGGTTTTGCAAGGAGCTGAGATATTGTTTTACCCTACGGCTATCGGCTCCGAACCGCAGGATGAAGGACTTGATTCTCGTGAGCATTGGCAGCATGTGATGCAAGGGCATGCTGGTGCAAATTTGGTAAGTTGGAACTTGGAAGACTGGTGAGCTAAAAATGCTTTATCAATGTTGTCATCTTCTTTTGTTGTTTTTACTGTATATTGTGGTGTGAGCTTTGAAATCCAAATATCCCCTTTTTCACATGCTAATTTCTTTTTTGTTCCCTGTTATTAGATAGATTTTGTTAGCTAGACATTGTGTATCTGGTGATCGTAGCAGAGGGCTTAGTCATCCCGAGTATTCTTCTATTATGAAATTTAGATATTAACTGCTAGAATGTAAACGGTTAGGATATCTTGTTTATATAGGTACCTCTAGTAGCTTCAAACCGCATCGGAAAGGAAACCATTGAGACAGAGCATGGGAAGAGTCGGATTACATTCTACGGCCATTCCTTTATAGCAGGTATGAATTTGATGAATCTTCTCTCTTCCATGTTTTATCGGTCCAAAATAAGTCTAAATATCAATACTTGGATTCCAGGACCAACTGGGGAAATTGTTGCAGCAGCTAATGACAAGGATGAAGCTGTTCTCATTGCACCGTTTGATCTTGACAAAATCAAAGCCAAAAGAAGTTGCTGGGGGGTGTTTCGTGATCGACGTCCCGATTTATACAAGTTGCTTCTGACATTAGATGGCAGCAAACCTTCACCATGACTAAGAGCCCCCTTATGCAGGGTCTTAATTTTAAACATTTCATTGTTTCAGCTTTATTTTAAGTAGATATTTTGGACAACTCCAGTATTAGTTTTATTAAGGGTTGAGTTTAAGGCTAAGAACAAAAGTTTACTTGCAGAAAAGTAACTGTGTTTAGTCTTATAAATAAGCTGTGACAGGTGACACCCAGATCTATCTTATTATTATCTTTGAATTAATAAAGAAAAACTAGTGGTTTTTAAACCCCAATTTAATGGTGTGATGATACCATGTAGGGAACTGAAGTTCTTATTAACTTGCACTTCCCTTGTAGGACTAATAAAATACAGCAGGAAATGTTGTTTCTCATTCTTTTTAGGCTTATATAACAATTAAGTACCTAAAGTTTATCAACTTTTGGTACTTATTTGTGATATAAACCTTCTTTTGTTTACATGAATGCTTTTCATTGACTATGGCGTACCAAAATTTACACGACGAAAGCATACCAAAACATTGAATTGTATTTGGCAAAGGATAACTAAAATAAGCAACCCGCAGAATACAAACTGGAAATTTTGGTACAATGAATTTGTATTTCCTTGTCAATGAAATGATAAAATGTCTCACAAAGTGGAAAACATCAAAGAATTTGTGTTTTCTTTAAAAAAGAGTACATGCTAGTGACAACCACTGTTAAAGAAATAACTCCAATCATAGTTCAATCACAATTTCAACAATAAAAAAATTTAAACGAAATAGAATTGAACCCCAAAACAATGAAAAGAAAGTAGAGGAAACAGGTGTATGTTGTTGACGTTTAACATGTGAGATAGTAGTTTAAGATGGTGGTAGGATAATCAATTGTTCGAGGTTCATCATCTTTAATATGAACAGAAAATTGTGTTTCAAGAACAAAAGAAAAATAAAAGAATCTTTACTCCTTTTTATTCCTTAAAGGTAAAGGATGTTCATTTCTAACTTGCTTAGCCACATATCTTTCATCCCTTAAAAAACATGTTTTTACCTTTTTTGTTCCTTCATGTTCATGTTCTAGTGAATTTAGATGGTGTGAACTGTTTGTAAGAATTCTCCAGAGAAGTGTTACTCTTTCTGTTTCTTTTTTTGCTCAAAATTTTTGCAATAATTTTTCTTTTAGGAATCGGGTGGTTTACATGAACAACGACATTCCTTTTGACGTGTTGTCTCGATTGCCGACGAAGTACATGGCGCGGTTGAAGTGTGTTTATGACCACGTTATTCAAAAGGTGGAATAGAAATGTTTATGGCCACGTTATTCAAAAGGAGGAGGAGGTTAAATCTCAGCTTTCGAAGGTTCAAGCTACCATGGATCTCATTGTAAACAACCACCTTCACGCCAAAGAGCTATCTTTACGAACTGAATCAGAGGAGATCCTTGATCATAAAGAAATGTTATGGAAACAGAAGTCGGGATATGCGTGACTTCTTGAAGGTGATTTCAATACTAAGTACTTTCATAGTTGTGCTCTTACTTGCAGGAAGTCCAATTGCATTCAAGCCTTAAAAATCAGGAGTGGTGAATGGAGCTACGATGATAACATTCTTTGGTCTAAAGCTTCCAAATTCTTTAAGAACCTCAATCACGACGATATCAAAAGCAGGGACATATTCTCAATAAGAGAGGCCTTCCCTTGTTTATCTTCCGAGGACACCCAGATGCATAACGCTATGCTCACTAATAAGGAGGTCCAACGTGCTCTCTTCGATACGAGTCCTTTCAAGTCTCTTGGAGTTAATGGTATCAATGCCTTTTTCTTTCAAAGTCAATTGAAAACTGTTGGCAACTTTGTTCATTGGGTTAAAAGTATCTTTAATGGCAACCCTATTGAACCTGATATCAACAAGACATATTGTCCTTATCCCAAAGACGAATAACCCTGAGACCTTTACGAAGTGTTATTTTATCAGTCTATGTATTGTTCTCTACAAGTTAATGACAACCCTATTGAATCCGATATCAAGAATGGACAATTAGACATAATAATTAAGATTCTCGATACCCAAAATTCAAATATAAAAAACAACCATCGCTCTAAATATTCTACTTCAATGGATCATTTTTTTCTTAAAAAGTTCAACTAAAATATTAAACGGCTTAAATTTGAAAGAATGGAAGTGACAAATTTCCACTGTTTTTTCGAGTTTTTTCAACTTGAGTTTGAATTCTAATTTTTTATTTTGGATTCGAATTAAATTTAATAATTTTAATTTTATTAGTTTCTGAATTAAATAAAACTCAACTTGAAAATTTAAAATATAAATCTAGCAAAAAACAAGACTTGAACTCGTCTCATCTAAACTCCTAATTTAGGCTCAAAGAAATGTTTTGTTCAAGTTCGATAAACAAAATCTAAAACCAATGGTAGCAGACAGATGTACCGCCTAGTTGTTTTCAAACCCCCGAGGCCACTCTTTTATTCCACCATTGCTAATTTTCATACTCGTTTCTCAACCTTAGAAGAAAACTTTTGCTCCAAATTATTAACTTCATGCGCCCAAACGTCAAATTTACTTCATGGGACGCTAATCCATGCCAGGTTCATTAAAGGGTCATTTCCAAATTCCCTTTATCTCCAAAACCACATCTTAAACATGTACTTGAAGTGTGGTGACCTCATTAGCGGTCGCAAGCTGTTCGATGAAATGCCTCAACGAAACGTCGTTTCATGGTCTGCCATGCTTTCTGGCTTTACACAACATGGGTTTTTCAACCAAGCTCTATCCTTGTTTGTTTACATGCTAAGGGATGGAACCTCTAAGCCTAATGAGTTTTCGTTTGTTAGTGTCCTTCAAGCTTGTTCTTTGCACGAAAGTTTAGATTTAGCTTACCAAGTTTACGCTATGGTTTTACGTTTGGGGTTCGATTTAAACGTGTATTTAGTCAATGCTTTTTTGACAGCTTTGATGAGACATGGGAAAAAAGAGGAAGCTTTGGAGGTGTTTGAGAAGTGTTTGAACAAAGATATTGTGACTTGGAATGTTATGTTAAGTAGCTACTTGGAAGGTTCTTGTTTGGATTTGCCTAAATTTTGGGTTCAAATGAATCATGAAGGGTTGAAACCTGATTGCTTTACTTTTGCAAGTGTCTTAACTGGGTTGGCTTCTCTTGATCATTTAAACATGGGTTTACAAGTACATGGTCAAATTGTCAAGTCTGGCCATGGTAGTGAAATTTGTGTCCAGAACTCCTTGGTTGATATGTATATAACGAATCAAAGGCTTCTCGATGGGTTGAAAGCTTTCGGTGAAACAAGTGAAAAAGACGTTTGTTCTTGGACACAAATTGCAGCTGGATGGTTAGAGTATGGGGAACCTGCAAAGGCCTTGGAAGCTATTGCAGAAATGAGGATGATGGGTGTAATACCGAATAAGTTTACTCTTTCTACCGCTTTCAACGCTTGTGCTAATTTGGCTTTTTTGGAAGAAGGCAAGAAAGCTCATGGGTTGAGGATAAAACTTGGGGTTGAGATTGATGTTTGTGTGGATAATGCATTGATTGACATGTATGCAAAATGTGGTTCCATGGACGGTGCTTGGGGTGTTTTCAAGGGAATGGACGATCGATCCATTGTTTCATGGACGACAATGATAATGGGGTGTGCACAAAATGGTCAAGCTAGAGAAGCTCTCAGCATTTTTGATGAGATGATTGTGAAAGGTATAAAACCAAATTACATTACCTTCGTTTGTGTGCTTTACGCATGTAGCCAAGGAATGTTTACCAATGAAGCATGGAAATATTTCTCTTCCATGACCAATGACCATGGGATATCTCCCGGTGAAGATCATTATGTATATATGGTACATCTCCTTGGCCGTTCCGGGCATATAAAAGAAGCTGAAGAGTTAATCTTGTCAATGTCGTTTCAGCCTGGTGCATCAGTTTGGCAAACTTTGCTTAATGCTTGTCAAGTTCATGGGGATATTGAAACCGGGAAGCGAGCGGCGGAACAAGCAATGAACCTAAACAGAAAGGACCCTGCAAGTTATGTGTTGTTGTCAAACATGTTTGCTGGTTTTAACAACTGGGATGATGTGGGGAAGTTGAGAGAATTAATGGAAACTAGGGATGTAAAGAAGGTACCTGGAACCAGTTGGATCAAACTAGAAAAAACTGCTTAGTACCTCCACTACCCAAGTTTTCAATTATGGAATCTAAAACCAGATAGTAATAGCTGGTCGAGAAGCCTATTAAACTGCAACCGATAGAGGATAACACTCGAGATTGATTCAATTTCAAAACCAAATTTTTTTCTAAGATTGACCATGGATTTCTCGGTTGATATGAACAAGAATTTGTATTATGTATTTTTGTTGGAGGGGTGAAGCAATCTTTTCTTTTGTAGCATATCACATTATTATCCGATAAAATTTTGGAGTAATGATAAATATGGAAAGAAAGCCATGCCAGATTGCCTGACGGAGTCGTGGTTTCCGATCGACTCCGATGCGGCAAAAGGCCAAACAAACTAGATTTAGATTTGTCAATGTGCCACCCGGTCGACCTAAACTTGAATATGAATTTTTTATTAGAAACATTACTTTAAATTTAATTGTAAAAAGTAAAGATACCAATGTAAAATATATGTAAACAATGAAACAAAATGAAGAACCAGATTAACATAAACTTGATAATATTTTTTAAGGAATAATTATAATCTGACTCGATCTATTATGAATAAAGAAAGAAGCCCATATGCAGCCCAACTTGTCTGTTCCGACAAAATCTTGCCCAGCAGCTCCGCCGGCTTTCCCTTGTCGAAGATTTGAAACCTACTACTCAAAAACCTCTGTACGAACCCCTGCTTTTTGCTCTGCATTTTTCTTCGCCTTCATTTCTTTGTTCGGTGCTTCAAGGTACATTTTTCTCTTTTCCCTTTTATCTGTTTTGTGTTGTTTATTTGATTCACGCATTTTTCTTTAATCGTTTGCTATTTTGTTTTTCTCTTTGATTGCTTTCAGATGTTGGAAATAGCTTTATCTTTAGTTGTTTCTTGCTTCTTCTTCTTCTTCTTTTTAAAAAAAAGAGGAGCTTCATAGTTAAACCCAGGCATGGAATAAAATAATTAAGAGGTTGTGAGATCTCTAGCTAGAGATTTTTTCTGGGTTTCGACTTATGTGAACGTTTTGTGTAGATTGGCTGTATATAATGTTGTTTTTCATAAGGGTTTTGATGTTCTAGCATGGCAATAGTTTAGGTTTAATATGGGTTTTGTTTAACA